TTGGGTTGCATACATCTAAGCATGTGCATGAAATTGAACTGAAATTTAAACTGGCACCAACATTTACTCTCTCCTTTCCTGTTTTTTGTCTTCCATTCCTTCTGATGCTGCTGATACCTGTACTATATTTCAAACAGATATGTTTTCTCAAAGTAAAATTAATTTTACTGTTTTCTACTGATTTTATTGTTTTTTTAAACTATATCCTTTGCGTTGCCTCTCTGATTGCTGCTTTCAACTCCTGTCAATTCTGTATTGTGCTGTTTATACCTGGGGCAGCTGTGAACTGTAAATGGTTTTAATGCTGCTGATCACTATTGCACTATAGTAGATTCTATCAAGCATTTATACCATTGATTCATTATTGTCCTCTTGTGAATTTCCTATCCAAACTGCTGTAACGAATATAAAAAGAATAAATCCCATTCCTTTATCTGAAGGGTTATATGTCCGAGTTGAAAATAGATGAGGAAACCTCAGAGATCTACAGTAACAAGCATTTATTAATTCTGAAGGACAGTGTATTTGAGGCAATGAGCAAACGAGCTTGGACAGATGTGCTGCTGCAAATATACAAGGTAAAATGTAAATACATTTACTAATTAAATTCTGAAGAACTGATGGCAAAACCTTTGCTTTAAAAATATCTGTGGTATATTCAAATTTTGTTTTTTTCTTTATTTCTTTCTCACAGAGAAGAAAAGAATTGAGAACATTTTAATTTTCTTCTGAAATGTTAGCAGTGTGTTAGGTTTTCATTAAGAAATTCTGTGTTAGAACAGTCTGCATTTTTGAGAATTACATGTTTTAGAAAACTTATTACAGAAAAGAAAGCTCCACCATGTTTTTTTGTTGACCTGGTTAGAAACACTTTTCACTGGAAATACTTACTTGACTAGACATATAACCATGGTATTTACTGTCTTAGATTAGAGTAGAATTCTTAAAGCATTTTTTATAATACCCATTCTTTTTAAGATATAATGAAGTTGGCCAGTATGGACTTCTGAAATTTTATTTGATTTTATTTTTACTTATGTTAGATAAAAATTTTGGATGGCTAAATCACATCTTCCAAAGTAAATCTGAACACTTAATTCCTCATTTAAATCTGTGGTCTTTCTTAATCTTCTAAAAAGTTATTAACATTAAATATTGCCTTTCAGGTGGCCTAATTCAGCTTTGCCGGTGCCTCAACTTTGCTCTAGAAGTTTTAACTCTTTTTAATCCTTTTTACCTTTTTCTTTCCCCATGTGTGCATGTGAAGTGCAATATTCTAAAATAAACTTTGTAGCCTTTACAGTGCCTCAGAGCAAAGCATCATCATGAATTTACACTAATGTAGGTGCAGGCTGCATGTCTTAGAAATAACATTTCTCAGATAGTGAGGAAAACCAGGTTTTCCTGGATGCGTTTTTTCTGCCCCTTTCCTTCTGCTAGAACTACTGGAGTAGGGGGATGCTTCTGAACTCTTGCTTCTCTCTTACTATTGGCATAGACACAAAAATGGGACAGAACACATGGTTGCTGCGGATATGAAAGTCTTCAGGTTTAGATCAGCTTAAACCTATTGTGAAGATGTGCTGCTCTTCATTCTAGTTCTGTTTCATGCCTAAGAAGTATGTTTCAGCTTCTCTTTCATTGTTCCTTCATATTTCTGTCCTATAATAGTACATTTTTGAGCTTCATCTTCTCTGTCCTTCCTGCTAATGTCTTGGGAATGAAACATCTCTGCTTTACTTTTTTGTTGTAGCTTTATGCAGTTTGGCTAACATGGTATTCAATTCAATACCATACAGCATAAGCAGAACTCTTAACATAAGAACTTGGAACTAGTCACTGAATATTCAAAGCTGTGTTCACTCTTCGATATCCTTTTGTTCAAATCCATTTTTGATAAGGGTGACCATGACTGCTGCTGAATAAAGTTTATTTATTTTATTAAATTTGTAAAGAAAGCATCGTAACAATAAAGAAAAACAGGATATGAACTGTCAAGACAGCAAGATTGATTTACACAAAAAATATTTATTTGGGTTAGTGCTGAAATGTTCTGAAGTTAAGAGAATGTTCCATATCTTAAAACCAGTTTCATTAAAATGAAAGTAGATACAAGCCTTTTTGTGATTACAGTAGTCTGATTTCAAGCAATATAAGCTGAAACAGAATTCTTACATAGCATGCTGCAAATTTCAGAAAAAGTTAAAGGAATTTATTCACCAGGGACATTCTGTCATCCAATTTTATTTTAAAAATAAAATGCTGTTATTAGAAATACTTAATATTATTCTTTATCAACTAAAATATCATCTCATATTGCTTTCATACCCATACTTGGTGCATTATGGCCACTTACTTGTTATGAAAACTTCTGTTGCTGCAAAAGTCCCAGAGGACAAAAAGTACACCCAAATCCACCTCAGAAGAATGGAAAATTAATTTTATTCTGAACAAAAGGTAGAACCTGTGGGGAATAAAATGGGAAATTCATCAGTCATAAAGATATACTTTTAGTTTTCTTTTCAAGCAACACTAAAATATTGATGGCATTTTGCAAATCTGGAAAGTCTAGGCTAATAGAAACATAGGGACACTAATAGCAGAGGTGGTAATTTAGCCAGTGGGTCAGGCCAGATTTTCAGTAAGACACTCAATCTTTAAGTTTAATGGGAATGTGGTAACAAGGATACTTTTTATAGTTGTAATTAATAACATTTCCCAGTCTTATAGCTGATAAATTTATTTATTTAGTTATTTTGATAAATACAGTGATCTCCAAAAAGTCATTGTTCTGGTGAACAATGTTCTGGTCCCTCAACAGGATCTCAGGATCTCGGCAGTATCATGTAAACATTTGGGCATCTTAGTATCATAGAACGGTTAGGGTTGGAAAGGATCTTAAGATCATCTAGTTCCAAACCCCCTGCCACGGGCAGGGACACTTCACACTAGACCATGTTTTTGCCAAAGGCTCTGTCCAACCTGGCCTCGAATACTGCTAGGGATGGAGCATTTACCACTTCCCTGAGCAACCTATTCCAGTGCCTCACCACCCTCACTGTAAAGAACTTTCTTGTATGTATCTAACCTGAACTTCCCCTGTTAAGTTTAAACCGATTCCCACTTGCCCTGTCACTACAGTCCCTGATGAATTGGATGAGGATGGATTGGATTTTTCTTGTTAAGAGACAGTAAGAGAATGTTCTATGGGTAAATAACTCTTCATGTTTTCTTCTAAATGTAGTTGCTGTTACTGATTTGATCCTTTCCACTGAACATCAGGTTGTACCGTTAAAGGAATGTTGCAATAAAGTAACTGCAAAGACACTGCCTTTTGAGAAAAGCATGAAATAGTATATACTTGCTTGCTTTTTTTTGCTGTTTTCTTCAGATTTGTATTTGAGGATGCTGATATTGTGATTTCTTTTTCATATAAGATAGTCCTATGCAAATCAATAAAGTGCCATGGAGAGAAATCCAAATATTTAAATTAAATTAGCCCAGCCATCTCCGCATGGAACTAGGTTTTGCTGAACTGAAATGCTTCAGGGTTTAAAAAGGAATTTTAAAGTGACTAATTTAAAAAAAAAAAAGTAATTAAATATGGATGTTATAGTTTGGATCTCATGTACATTAATAGTTAGCTAGGTTTTGTATAATAGTATATCATAAACGGTTTTCTTTAGAAAAACTTCAGAAAAAAAAAAAAGAAATGCAGATGTAAATGTGGAAGCTGTGCTTGTGAAGCCACATGGCTTGTAGCTGCATCATACTATATGTAAGAGTGTATAGTAAGAGTACCTCTGCAGCATGTGGAGGGATTAAAGTTTCAAGACTTTGCCTCAAGGAACTGAGGCTTTCTCTAAAAAACCTGTTGAAATCTAGTATTAGAAACTAATATGAAGAGAAAAAACTATAAAAGGGGTTAAAGCTGTTTTCATTCTGATTAGATGACATTTTCTTTATGTGTTTATGTGTCAGGGAATTAGTCATCACTGGGAGTGCTTAAGGGACTGAGAAATTGGGCCCATTCCACATTTCAAAATAACATTTTACTGAATTTGCATTAATTGTCAATCGATATTGTCAATGATTAGTTGTTAGTTGTGGGGTTTTTTTGGTTTTTTTTTTTTCCCCAACCAAACAATTAGTCCTTAAACTAAATTATCTTTGAATATAATGGCACTGTGGAGCTTATGCAGTGTAATTAGCATTTATGACCATGGTCCTTGCTAGTCTTAGTCACTGGTCAAGGTGATCAGGCCTAAGACCACTTTGCTGAAGGAGGATGGAACCAAAGCTGTTGACTTCATCCCAAAAATGAGTTCTATGTTCTTCCTTCAAATAAGTTTTTCCATGCAGCCATTTCAATGGTGGGGACGGGGGGGGGGGGATGGGGGAAAGAAAATATTGTGTAGAATTTTTACTTTTAACTTCTTTATATTTCTTATATATTTTATATACGTATGTTTATTTATTTTTTTAAATGTATGTTCATGCAAGACTTAAGGACCTCTGAGTATCAAGAATCTTATTGTAAACATTATAATGCTTATTTTTTCAGGAGAAACAGTCGGCGTAGTTTGGACCTAAATAAGTAACTGGCACATGAAAGATACCATTTCAAGACTATCTGTAGATTGTGCTAGAGGCTAGTATAGTAGTTCAGTGATTAGTGCTTTGGATAGAATATAAACAGGAATTCTTGGAATCAAGATCCAGTCATTTCATTCAGTTCATCAAAACTTGGAAAAATGTTGGAAACTAAAAAATATTTAGAATCATAGAGTCATAGAATATCTTGAGTTTGATAGGACCCATAGTCCAACTAGCTACTTCTACATAAAACTAAACCAACTAAGTGCAGGGCTGCTCTCCAGCCTCTCATCCCCCATTTTAAATGTTTATGTAGGATTACCCTGACCCAGGTGCAGAATATGGTACTTGCTGTTGTTAAATTTCATACAGTTTGTGATTGTCCAGCTCTCTAGTCTATCCAGATCTCTCTGTAAGGCCTTTCTACCTTTGAGGGAGCCCACAGCTACTCTTAATATAGTATCACCAACAAATTTAATGTACATTTGATCCCTATGTCCAGATCATTCATACAAACACTAATGAGCACTGGCCCTAAAATTAAGCCCTGGATGACCCCACTGGTGTCTGGCTGCCAGTCAGATGTAACCCCATGCACTAAAACTCTTTGAGCCTGACCTGTTGGCCATCGTTTAGCCATTGTATTGTGGACTTTTCTAGGTGTATGCTGGACATTTTGTCACGAAGGATTCTGTGAGATACAGTATCATAAGCTTTGCTAAAATCCAAGAAGCATGCATCTACTGGCTTCCCTTGGTCAACTAGATGGGTGACCTTCTCATAAAAGAAAATTAAGTTGGTTAAGCAGAATTTTGCTTTTGTGAACCTCTGCTGGTTATGACCAATGACTTTATTGTCTCTCAAATGGTTGTCAACAACTCCCAGAATACCATTCTGCATAATTTTACCAGACACTGAAGTGAGACTGAGAGGTCTGTAATTGCCTGTGTCTTCCTTCTTCCCCTTCTTGAAAACTGGGACAACATTTGCCAGCTTCTAGTTTACTGGGACCTTCACAGACTCCCAAGACCTCAGCAAATCTGTTCTCTTTTTTGTTATATATTTATGCTCATGTATAATCTCCTAAACCTTTTCTAAATTAGAAAAAGCTTTTGAGTTTGAAGTGGGGGGGGGTTGTCATTTGACTTTAAATTGTTCTTTTTATAGTTCACGTGTAAAAAACCATTTTTTTTTTTAATTTTAGGTGTTTGTTCTTCCACATGTTTTTTCGCGCAGTGTCACTGATCAATTCAGCTTGGAAAATGTGCAGAACATGCCAAGAATAAAATCAGAACCATTATCCAGTAATATATATTCTCCATATGAACGAACCATCCTCACCTGGTTGAATAAACATTATGAGAAGAATCGAAAAACTGTGTGGAAAGACTGCCAAAAAGGTGAAATAATTCTTTCATTATACTCTTCCTTTTAGTACTCCTTTTGACTTTTAAAATTGTTATTCATAGAGATATCATGAGAAATTACCACTGAAAGTATTTTTTTGGGATAAGTTATTGCCTACCCATACATATTTCCTTTCCTTGTGTTTCTGTATTCCAAGATAAGTGTCTTTTTTACTAGCACTGCTTATGAAATGTCTTCTGTGTTCTGCGTGTCCTTAGAGTTTCATACTAGGCATAAATGGTGAAGCATGGCAAACCTTCTTACTTTCTTCTTTCCATTAATGATCTCAGGAAGGAAGTATTAAGAGTAATCACTTTCTCTTCATTTTCCTGTTTATAGTCATATGCAGCTGTTAGCATTTGTGCTTATAGTGGTGTGTTTTAGAGCTAGCTGTTCAGAATTTTTAGAATAATTTTTGTATTGCCTTTATTCTAATGACATTTAGGAAAGTAATGGAGGCCAAGGTACCAGATTATAAATCTTGTCCTACTTGCAAGGTCAGTTTGACACCTCATGATTGTTTAAGTTAGGCAAAATGACCTGTTCTGCTTAAGAATGGCCTAGGAAGTTCTGGTGTTCAAATCTGATAGAAGTGTACAACCAGTAGTAATTATTACTTCCATTTCTTTGTATGATTTCTCTCATTTGTTTCTTGACTCTGTCATGGTTCAAGCCCAGCCAGCAACCCAGAACCAGGCAGTCGCTCACTCAGTCCCCCCGCCCCAACCCCTTTCCTTCCTCCCCCCGCTCCCAGAGGGATGGGGCGGAGG